GAGGAAACTGTGGTACAAAGAAAGAAAGGAAGAAAGAAAAAGAAAGAAAGAAAGAAAGAAAGTCTTCATTACAACTAACGCAGCAGTCCAGCTGCTCTGCGTGCTAGTTGTAATGAATCCTCCCGTGGCGCTGGACACAGCCATCCCTATGTACTGCAAGAGTCTACTCTGACGTGGTATCTAGAGACTTCCTGTAGTGGGGGAAAAATCTACTCTATTCTCTTTTCCTATCTGGTTCCAAAAAACAGCAGGCTCCCCCCTCCCCTCCCGCCCCAAGAAAAATCCCCTGCAGTCAAAAACAAAAAAGCAAACTTCCAGAACCTGGTAGTTTCCCCTTCTGGAAATGTTCAGCATGACAGCGTCAAGGGAAAATGTGACTGTTGCAGGGTGCTGCAGCATCTGTTTTGTAAACGTAGCCAGTAAATGCTGAACGAATACGCTTTGATGCCATTCTGATAGGAATGGTCTCCCACTGTGTCCTCCCCTCAGACTTACCATACGGCCACCTCAGACTGAAAGTTTAGTTTTTGTTTTAAAGAAAGATGTAACTGTCAAACCCAGAATACCACAAATAACCCACAGATTTTTGCACATTCATTTCTCCCCTACCACAAAAAAGTGAAGAGTGTTGAATAGAGACCATGCTATAACTGTTTACAAAAGTGAATAAAATGTAGTTAATCTTGAAGCCTAAAATAACTAATTCGGAAAGAAATAAGTCTCACTACAGTATTTAAGCAAACACAAAGGTAAGTTCATTAAAAACACAGAAAAATGAAAAAAATGCGGAGTAATTACAAGCACTAAATATTTTGCTATGAAGCTTTTGAAATCTATTTACATACATAAATACAAGTAACTCTGTTGATGAAACCCTTTTAGGACAAGGAGAAAAATGCCAAGTGATTGGTACTGACCAAGCAAGGTTAACAAAAATAAAATACGAAAATGTTACGATGCAGGAAAACAAGCAAGTGTTTTTGCTCAAATAGAAAAATGATCCACTTCTGAATCTTCAAATACACCAATGGAAAAGGTCACCCAGAAAGCAGTAATGAATGTTTCAAGAGCGCAGGCAATTCGGAACACTCTGGCAAAGACTGTGGGCCATTTGGAAGAAAGGGTTTTTCTCCTTTCCGGCAGGTAATTTGGCATAATTCTACATATCAAATCCTTCGTAGCAGGGGTGCGCTCTGCATCTGCCTCCCCCTTGCACTAAAGCTCCTGTACATCGCCCTGGAAGTGCAGCAGGAACTCCTGAAGTGAGCATAAACATTGTTTGAGAGCAAAGTTTGAGGCCTTAGAGCAAACGAGAGCCGGGCCCTACATTTACTTTGAAATTGTTTGATACGGCCGCATCTGGACAACGAGTTGTGTCTTGTGAAAGGAACACACAAGCTGACAGCAAGGACTGCCATTAACTGTATTTTGGTAGGGGAAGGTATCTAAGGCACTCTGCTGACTGCGGCGTGCGAACAGAAGCACAATAGTTCTTTTTTGATTCCGTTCAGCTACCGGGATGATAAAACTGTATAAATATATATATATTATATATATATATAAAAATATATACTTATATACTATAATTTGGAGACGTGTGAATGGGGGAAATGTTTTATCCAAATGTCCTCTTTCTGCCTGCTAAGTGCTCTTAAGATACGACATGAGAGCATTTTTAGAGCCTTGAAGATCTTTGCTGTCCTTAGTGGGACAGGGGATGGCTACAAAAATAGAGATTTGAGTAAACTGTGGTTTCTCATAAGCACTTGTGTGAATGCACTGAAACCCACAGTGATTAAACAGACTAATTGCAAAGGATGATGAACTTAGCTTTTCCTCAGTAAAGAGGGTGCTGCTTTGTGCTGTGCTTGACATACACAGAGAGGTTAGACTCAAAAAGTTTAGTTGCTGGCAATTATCACATGTGAGACACTGGGAAATCCCGGGGTTTTGTTACGTGTCAGTAAAGACACAGGGTAAGTGTGGTGACCAGTTCTGCAGTTTCTCATCCTGTTCACACCAGGGAGCGTAACATTAAACTTCACCTTTAGGACAAGTGTAAAGAAAGTAGACTTGTAGACGTAAGAAATGTTCGACGTTAGGTCCAATCTCCAGGCTGAGAGATGCCAACTCCCCGTTGTTGTAAATCCCTGATCTTTTAGTTTCAAAAGCGCGTAGTACAAACTACGGGCAAAAGGGGCAAAGGGCTTCAGCAGAAGGCAGTCTGTGGCGACAGACAGGCCTGGGGGTGTACTAGCCACATCAACCTCACTTCTGCCAGTGGGCTGAAGTCACCCGGCCACGGCAGCCCTGCCCTCTGCCGTGAGGTGTCTGGCTCCTCTGAGGTCCCCTCCTCTCCCTCGCTTCTGGGTTCACGCTCACAGTACTATGCACTTGGGTGGTCCAGTCGCAAGGCAGATGTGAGAGCTGCAGTAAATGGTGATTTTAAGTGCAATAGCGACAGAGAATGTGTAAGATGGATTCTGCAACAGAGCTACTGTTTAGTGATGAAGGACTTTTTTTTAGGCTACTGAAGAGGTGAGATTGCAACTATGTAAATGTCACAACTGGTAGGGTCTCTGTATTTCCGTATTGGGCAAGGTCTCCATACTTCCAAAATATATTTTTAACTCTTCTGATATAGTTTTGATGTTTTCTGCCTTTTTTGTTCAGAGCAAACTCTAGAAAATTATAAAGAATATTATGCTAAATGAAAAGCACAAGGCCATGCATGTATTTTAACAGAACCATTTTGAACTTTTGCTGAGATCTCTTGAAACACTCCCTATTTTCTGCACAGAAATGACCTTATTGACAATGTAAATTCTTCAATTTGTAACTTTTCAATACCAAAGTGCTACTGCATCTGACTTACACAAAGAAGCAAAATCATATAAAAAAAAAGAAAACTTGAAAAACAAATGGTTTTAAATAAGTCCAGCTGTTTTGCTGCCTGCAGCCAAGGATCTTTTTAATTTGAATCCTTTTAATTTTTTTTAAACATCAAACACTGATCTGAAGTCCTGCTTTCAAATACTCTCTGAGTTGACCTGCAATTGTTTCACTCATTTAAGAGGTACATTAAATAATAATCAGCTAATTTGGAACGCACACGTGTCAACATCAGCAGTTTGTAATTAATGAGTAGTACAACAACTGCATTCAGACCAAACCCTCAAATAAAATAGTGCTATAAACTTTACAGTGACATCTGATATGTTTGTGCTGTAACGATGGGCAACGATGACGACTCTGTATTAACATGCTGTTGGTATAAGCCTTGCGTATTTGCTACAGGGCAGAATATTGTGTGCACCAGTTTTAAATACCCTTCCTCTTCCCGCAGAAGATGGTGGCGGAGGAACCGTTAAGGCCCCTTCTTTGCTAGCCTGCTTTCCAGATGAGCTTGACAACCCTGTTCAGTTCAGGTTATTTTGTGATGCATGAACTGATCTATTTTCCAGTGCACTGGAACGTGGCTTTTGTACTGCACAGAAATCTTGGCTCCGCTGAGCCGGGAGCAAATCTCACACTGATTCCGTCAGAGCCAGGACTTCACCCTTGCCATGCTAGCTGCCTGTTGGCTTTCACTTTTGAAAGACTAGGAGGCCTCCACCAGCACTGTTTGGAAGTCCAGGCAAGCTCAGGAGCAGAATGGGGCCATAAGGGGATGTATTTAGTTAGGGAATATTGAATCCACCTTATGAAATATGTACATCCTGATTACCGATCCTGAGGGTCACCAATGGTGACGAAGGAAAAGCGAGGCAGGAGTAAGGAGAGATGACTCCACTGGGTGGGAAGGCACAGAAATTCACAGGGATTTTGGTGCCTAAATCATTTCAGTGGGAGTTGGGCACCTAAATGCCTTTGAGGATCTGAGCCCAGTTAGCTGAGTAAAATGAGAGTGAGATAATTGTAAACAATATTTCTAGGTAATTAGGAGGTCACTTTACCCATCGTTATTCCAGCCTTTTTCAATGTGATAAATTTGACTTTGGCTGCTACCAAGAAAGGCAATTGCTGATCTTTTTTAATATAGGCATATTTAAATAATAATAGTATCAACAAATAAGAAAAGTCTAAATATCAAGCATAAATATCAATGAACTCATCAAAGTAGTACAGTAGTTGAAAATGACCCAAGGCTGTAGCCGTTGTATTTAAAAAAAAAAAAAGTCCAAGAGGAAAAAGTTAAATTAACTCATTGAAAAAGGGGCTGATTCTTTCAGTTGACAAAGCAAGAAAGAAGCAAGCATGATTAAAACAAAAAAAAGAGTAAATTCTTTTTTTTTGCAATTTATAAGGTGCCAAGAGAAATAAAACAAATTAGATGCAAAGCAGGATGAGCTGCATCCTAAAAACAAAAACAAAAACAACAAACCCAAAACAAAACAAAAAAACCCCAGCAATAAAAAAATTCCATATTCTTTGGAATATACAACATGGTCAAAAAAAAAAAAAGAAAGAATGAAGTTCAACATATAAAACCTCTCATTCACAGCATTGCTAAAACAGAAGCGTTCACAGTTTCCCTCTGGGAATCTTCCTATACTTCCTTACAGTTAATATGTCCATAAGATGCAGTAAACTCACTAAGATTTTTTTAGGTTTTAAGTCTTAAAAATAGAAGTGAACCGAAACTCTCTTTAGGGCTGTGGAGACCTTCGAGCCCAGGCTTGTTAGAAAGCCACAGGCCTGGAAACAGACTGGGTACTTTTCTACCCACCCTCACTACCTCCGGACCACCAACTCAGGCGTCCTCCTTTCCAGAAGCTCAGCCCCTGCGAGGGATGCTTTGCTGGAGTGACGTCGCTTCGCCAGGGGCTGGCTAATACACACCACCGCTCCTGGGAGCGCTGGCTTCTGGAGGGTTTCCTTCTCAAAGTGATGTATGAACACGGCAGAGCCCATAAGCAAGACAGGTGTTTATGGGATACCTACGGGCACCGGGAAATGGAAAGCACGTTAGTCCTGGCCCATAACTACTTAAAATTTATTCAGTATGGTCGCCACACCGCTTCCTCTAGCCTCGCTGTGGTCGCCATGTTAGTGGGGGAGTTGCTGTGGCTCCCTTCTGCCTCAACCACATCGCTTTGGTTGGGGAGGTTGGGGTTGAGGAGCGTCGATCCCGTGGAGGCGTTGGTGCAGGGAGGGTGGATGCGTGGGGGGGACCGGTCTCCCCCCGAGATCATGGAGAACTGATAGGAGCCGGCGGAGGTTCCGTAGTAGAGGTGGTAGGAGGGCGAGCTGGTCTGGAACGGGCTGCCTTGGGCCTGCGACGAGCCGGGGTAGGGAGGCGGGAGGTAAGTGTGGTATCTCGTGGCCGTGGACATGGCAGACATACCTATTCCTATCCCTGAACTGACGGGCGTCGGCGTGTAGGTGAACGCTCCCGGGTAGTGCATCCGAGGGTCGGAGATGGAGGGGAGCGCGGAGAAGGAGCGATCGATTCCCACCCGGGGGTCACTGAACGCAGTCAAGTCAGAAGCACCTGGGTGGTGGGGAAGGGAGACAGAGAACTGTTGAACTGGCAGAATGGAGGTTCATCTTTTTGAGGTGATAACCAACATCCAAACTCTGGTCTATGGTTAACCGAAGCGGTGCTGATACTGCCAGAACAGAACTATTCCTCACCTGCTCTCCAATGCAGTCATTGTTGTGCTCATGGGTCTGATGTTTTGGATTAATTTCAGTAAAGCAGCAATTAAAGAGGGGTGCCAAGCTCTCGCCCTGTTTTGTACGTGTATGTGTTTGCTCTTAGAGACCTTACAGCACATGCAATTATTTACACTTCCAGAGTGCCCTCGTCCTCAGCGGGTGGGTGGGTGGG